AAGATTTATTCTCTCAGTCATTAGTCTTTATTAGTTGCCATTCTACATAATAGCTGGAGGTCTATACCAGTACACAGATGCAACTGGAATTTAATTCAAGAGATTATTGTCATAAGATCTTTAAAAAAATTTTAGTGGTATGCTGTGATTGTTATGAACTGTTTTGAAGGCTTAAGGTGCAGAGTTCCTAACTGTATCTATCTTCATATTAAGAAAAAAAATGTCTTTTCAAAGAACAGCTTTATTTCAGTGTGATTATATAATTTCAATGGGGGAGTATTATGAAACAAAGTGAACAAAGTGGAAAGAGCCCAGTATCTTGGTTTTGATATTATTAGCTTTGCCCTCAACTAGCTACCAGCTACCCTCTGCAAGTCTTGATCTCCTCATAAGTAAAATGAGGGGGTGGAATAAAAAGTCTGCCATGTCCCTCTGAACTCTGAAATTCTGTGACTGTACCTGATCCATAGCAGATCCACGTCTGGAACTCAACTGTTAAAGTGTGACTCATCTTGGTGAAAGGTAGACCTAATTATTTCTTTGATATTTAGAAGACCATGGGAATAAAATGTCATTTACTTGCATTTGATTAAAAGAGCTAATCTAAATTAAGAAATGTTAATTTTTTTTTAAATTTCAAATGTAAAGGAGACTACTCAGCAAATAAAAATGTGCTGTGGAATTATAGTATAATTAATTATAGATCCTTATTAATGTTCTGGATAAGTTCTGTTCATTAATATTTCAATTTGTAATATTAGGAATACATTGATGTTAATTAAATGATAATAGTTGAACATCCTGTGACTATTTTATGTAGCCCTGTGTGCTGAGTCCTATATCTTAAATAGTATTTTGGATTCATATATGCAAATGAGTATTGCTGTGTTTATCATCAGTACCTTGGGAAACTTGAGTTCTTTTTTCATTTTACAACGTTAAATATACACTGGGCATCTACGATGGCATCTACTACTGGGCATCTTCTCTGATACTATGATATTTAATTAGAGGCAAATTTTGAGAATTATAGTTATGAATCTCTTCCCCAAGTGCTATTTTCTTCTTTAAGCCACCAGCATTTTCATTACGAGCCCCTGTACAAGAAACCATTAATCTCACTCGTCTTCCTGACTCCATACACCATTCAGACTATGTAGAAACCTTACATCTTGTCAGCTCATGCCACAGTTAGAACCCAGAGGACTGAAGGTCCTGCTTCTCATGTGTTTAGAGGGATACCTGAATCTCTGATAACACTCAGAACCCGGTGACTGAGGGTTTGTCCTCCCTCAGTTCACAGTCCAGTCTGCTGTTTTGAGATTTTATCACTTGTCAGTCACTTCATAGGTTCAATGCTTTCTTGGAGTTTTCCCATCTTTCCATCTATCTTTGACACCATTTTAGAGAAATCTCTTTTCCTTAAATATAATACTATCCATGAAAACTAACATTTGCTTTCTGAACTTTATTTATTTTTGTCTTGCTAAAATACAGAAAAGTGATTATCTTTAAATAATAGAAAGAATAAAAAGTTTTGTTTTTCTCCCATGTAAAATCTTCAAGATACAGATATTCTAAAGGTCTAAGTTGATAGGTAACTATATAAAAGGGAGAGTGGGTTGAGAGAGAGAGATCAAATGTTGTCCTGCTACACAAAGACATTACTTTCCAGGCTTTGAGTTCCAATGGGAATAATTGAGCTTTAAAAAAAATAAACTTTTCTTTAATCCTACCATGATTCTTTTCATGCTGTTCATCCCCCCCCCCCTTTTTTTTTTCTTTCTTTCACTTCTATTCCTTTTTCCCTTCTTCTTAATAGTAAGGTAGTAAGGTGATCTTAATGAAGTCACACTGTGTTTCCGCATCTGAATTTTCTCTTATAGAAATCATTTTGTTCATACTCCCTTATAGAGCTTTTGTTAGACCAGATGGGAAAACACTAATACTTGGTAAATCTTAAAGCAGCATACAAATAACAGATTTTTCAGATTTAATGCAGAGGAAGAATGATGTGAGAAAAAGCATAGGTTTAAGAGCCAGGTATACCTGGATTCAATTCCTGCAGTTGCTTCTTACTCGTTCATTGTATTCTTAGTTTCTGTAAATGTAAAACCTATTAACACTTCATTATTTGTAGGAGGAATAAAATACCTTGTCAATCTCTGTGAGGTAAACAGAGGTATATTTTATACTTAGATGAAGCAAATGAAGCTTAAAGAATTAAAGTAATTGAGCCAGGATTATAAAGAATGAACTCTCAGTGGCAAACCTGTATTTAACTTTTTAGATTATAACAAATAATTTCAAAGATAGACTCTGTATGTTTGGAGCTTTAGAAAATACATTTAAATGTGTATAAGAGGTACATAGAAATGAGTTCCTTGATATAAAAGAACACATTTATTTGTTCTTGAGAACTTCTTAAGAAAAAAATTGTTCTCTTTATTAATTTTTATAAATCTTTGAATGTGGTCTAATGTTAGTGACCTAGTTGTCTGCCTTTGGAATTGGAATTCTGGGTGACAAATAAAACTGATGTTCTCATTTTTTATGAACAACTTATATTAGAATTTGTAAAATGAAAGTTGATTCCAATTCCCTATTAAACCAGGACATATGGTGGGGTTCATTTCTAGTTTCATAATTCCCATTTGTTTCCCCATTTTGCTTTGGTGTTACACTTGACTGGTAATAATAGGTTATTTTTCTTCTTATGGAAGCTTCCTTGATTATCAGTACATCTCCAAGGGCATAATCATGATCTATTAAAAAATAATCATGTAAATTATGATTATCTCACATTTCCCAGAATATTTTTAATGATGAGGAGTTTAAAAAAATAAATTGATTGGGACTTTCTTGGCTTGGGATAATGTAATCATATGCAAATTATTTTATTTGATATATTCTTAGTTTAAATCCATGGGTATTGTAAGATTTGATTTTGGGATATAAGAAAAGTGATTTATGGTTTTTCCTAGGAAATGTTTTTTGTTTAAATTATGTTAATCCCTAGCAAATAAAACCTGAAGTAACTTACAAAAGTAGAAGCTTTTTACCTAGTCTTGAATGCATAAAATAATTTTACATATTGGAAAAATTAATTATTTCATCTTATATATGTACTCCTAACAACCATACAGTAATAAGGCTTTCAAGTGTTGTTTTAAAATTGCCTTAAATGATGAAAAATATATGTCACCATATCTTTTGTGTTGGTTAAGGGTTAGATGTACAAGATGGGTTTATACTAAAAATATTTTTTTTAAAAAAGATGTGCTTGTACATTTTTATTACTTTTACATTTCTCATATTTTATATCCTCCCTCATCTCATTTTCAATCAGGTGATTTCTTACTTATTATACTCTGAATAGCAGAATAACTTTCTTGAGGTCTTGATCAGAGGATGGGACTCAGCATATCTTAGAACAATTAAAGAATAATTGTCTTTCTTTGTGGTCACTCATCCTGACCTAAGTTGTAGTGTTCAGAGGAGGGAACTGTTCAAGTACATTACAAGAATTTTCTATTTTTGTGCAATGTACACATTTTTAAAAAAGATGTACATTTGGACATATTTTAAAATATTTCTCAAAGTGCTGCATGTAGCATATGTTATTTCTCATGGTTTTAATATAATCAGAGTAATTGTTTTTATTTTCATAATACCAATAAAAATTAATGAAAGGGCACAATAAACTCATCTCTGTGAGGACGTGCTGTGGGTGTCTGGACTTCCACATAAACCACCAGCAAACTAACTTGTTCTCAGATATGTCAGCATGTCTTATGGTCAGCATATGGTTCATTGCCCACCTGTCACCTATTTTCTTTAGAATGACCAAATAAAATAGCCAAAAGGTAGATTCAGATCCAGTAAACTGTATTTTATATCTAAAATGATCCAAACACTTAAAGACAAACATTGCTGAACATCATGTCCTATTATCCTGCTAAAATTATACTGCAAGTCTTCCTCTCTCAAAAGTGTCTTGGGATCATTATGTCACTATACCAATTAGATAGGATACTAATGATATCTTCTTTTCTAGACCTTCCTTCTTCAATCCTGAAGAAATAAGAAAATACTAATAAGTTTATGTGACTTTCCCAAAAACATATAGCTACTTAGAAAACTAGAACTTACGTGTTTTGATGTATGTTCTGAGCTTTTTCCCAGGTCAGATTTGTTTTTTGTTTTTTTCATTTAAAAAAAAAAGATTATTTGTGCATACAGAACTAGGGTACAGGCCAGAGGTGCAGGAACAGTGAGGGAATTCACTAGAGACAGAGTGGGGAGTAGAACAGGTGGACTGGTGAAGTATACTGTTGAGGGGAGCGGGGGGGTTTGTCAGAAGAGGTCTGCCACCCCATGTGGTCACCTCCTAGACATGCGGGGATCAAACTCATTCTGAAGTGGCTTTATAATAAAAGTATAGATATTCTTAGTGCTATGCTTTAACCCACTGCGCCACAAGGGAGGACCCTTTTTTTTTTCCATTTTTTTTTAGTTTATGTCTTAAAAGACTTTTTTGTGACTCTGTTAGTATATTCTCTCTTGCTCCATCCCTTTCTCTCCCACACCCTTGAATATCTATACTTTTATTATAAAGGATTAGTAACATTGATACATAAAATGTGGATATACCCAAATGATGAGAAATTGTTGGAATTATTAGAAAGAGCCAGGTACAGGAAAGCAATAAAAAGCTACCAGCTCAACAATATGGGAATTCTGATTGTGAATGGAAATGTTTGGTCTTAACTTGCTACCTTTTGCCAGATATTGTCATTTTACTGATACGTTGACTTGTTCATTTGCCCTGATCACTCAAAATTGAACCAATCTCGTGTATGATAAGTGGAAGTGTATGCCAAATGATTATAATTGTTTTCTACTGCCATCAACTTGAAAATTATTGTGTGCCTCTATAAATTAGGTTAGTTAGCAAGAACATTCATGCTAAGTTGTAATTTCCTTTTCTTGTTGGCTAGGTTTTTCTAGACATGACATTTGGCTCTGGAGGACACACGAGAGCTATTCTACAGAAGGAATCAGATATTACCCTGTTTGCCTTAGACAGAGATCCAGTGGCTTACACAATAGCTGAACAACTTTCAGAATTATATCCGTAAGTAATACTTTTGTATAATTTTTAAATTTTGGTGCTGAGTTGTACAGAACTTGGTTTAGGTTTACCATCTTGCAATTTGTTTTCATTTGTAGGAAGTGATGCTTCACTAAGTATTTCCTCCCAGAGGTAGTACAAAAAAATTTTTTTGTGTGTATATGTGCTTTCATTTCCATTTTATTCTACTTATTTATTTTATTATTTTACATATTTTTACACCATTCTTCATTTTTATACAATGTATGCTTTGTCATCTTGAGTGTAATCTCTGAATTTCCCACCACCAGTTCACCATGCACCATCACCAAAGTTTCTTGTGCTCTTCCCACCCCTGTTTTGCTCCTACTTCCTCCTCTGCACCTGCAGACTGTCTCTAGTTTATAGTTGCCTACTGATTTTCATTTTTACTTTATTATAATTATACTTTTTCTCCCCAGATCCTTAATTTGGATCCCCTGCATTTCTCCTATAAGTGAAACTATTTGGTACTTTTCTTTTTCATTTTGGCTTATTTCACTAAGTATAATCCCTTCCAGCTCCATCTATGTTGCTGTGAATGGCATGAGTTAATCTTTTTTGATTACCAAGTAATATTCCATTGTGTATATATACCACATCTTTTTGATACAGTCATTCATTTATGGGCACTGGGTTGTTTTCATATCTTACCAATTGTAAATAGTGCTGCAATAAACATAGGGGTGCAGGTATCCCTTTTGTAATTACAGACTGTAAATAGTCTATTAACCATAAAATGGATTAGGATAGTAAATAAAATACATTTCACAATGACCAAAAATACTTGCAATTTGTATCTGACTCTTAAAGAGTAGGAAAAAGCAATGACTTTTACTAGTAGCAGTCATGTTAAAAGTGAAAACTTCAGTTCATTTTATGGTGAATCAGCATAGTTTTGAATATTTAAACTTTATATAGTATTAAAGAAAAATAAAGGAAATCCAAGTTCACTAAAGTATATAAATATGTATTTCAGAAGGAAATGCTAGCATATCTAATTCATTCATTATTTAATTAATAAATAATTTAATTATTAATACATATTTTATTCCTATTTAACTTTGAAATTTTTTTTTTAAAGATTTATTTATTTATTCGTACAGAACTGGGGTACAGGTCAGAGATACAGAGGGTGAGAGGATTCACCAGAGACAGAGTGGGGTACAGAACAGGCAGATTGACGAAGTACACTGCTGAGGGGAGCAGCAGGCGGGTCAGGAGAGATCTGCCACGCCATGTGGATCTCCTCTGGGGTAGGCGGGAATCGAACTCATGAGGAAGTGGCTTAAGCTTCTTTGTGTTGTGCTTTAACCCTCTGTGCCACCATGGAGGGCCCTTAACTTAGAAATTTTAACAAAAATAGTGAGTTAATTATTGATGACCATTGTGTTTATCAACATACCATTAATATGGTGATATGAGCCCTCCCTGTACTCCTGAATAAATCTGACAAACATTTTTCATTAAAACTTTCTAAGTTAAATAGGAATAAAATATAATTTTAGTTAAATTTAAAATATCTCTGTTAACCAAAGGAAAACAGTTATTTTCCCAAAAGACGAACTCTTAAGGTGAAGCACAATTATGTCAAAATCAGGAAGTAAATATAGACTAATTTCTATAAACATTATTTTTAATAAATAGTTTTGGATGATCTGGCAATGAAATTAAGAATAGAAAAGCCAATAGCCTTTTTCATACTGATTGACTGAATTCTTAAATACCCAAAGGATTTAATTGTAAAATTAATGAGGTGATATGATATGATGTTTAAATACAAACTTAAATATCTACTTAAGTAATAAATATATAGAGTAATAGGAAAAATATATTTTATTTCTGAAAGAGCAGGGAATTAATGACAGGATCACTTAGAATAAAAGAAAGAGAGAAAGCATGCCTCAAATAAGACCATCACATAAAGTCACTATAATAACTAATATGCTATTGGCATAGTATAGGTAATTATATTAGTGAAGGAGAGAATTCATATTGAATCCACTGTATAAAATAATTTGCTACATAATTTAATTCTTTGAGAAAATAATTATTATATATGTAGTGTTGCTGTAATGTCTACCAAACTTGAAAAAATAGAATGGTCCTCTATTTTAAATGAAAATACAAATTAGCTTTCAGATATAAAAGTATGAAAATTGAAAACAGAACTTTTATCAGAAAATTGAAGAAATTATATATACAATCTTAGGATAAGAGAATTTCTTAAGAATAGAAATCACAGACCTATAAAAATAATGAAAATTACTATATACAATTTTAACGAATATATGGCAAAAAGCATATCACAAAACTTCTGAACAGTAATGTTGGAAAAGAAGTATTAATTATTTAGATGGCTGGCAAGAGTTGTATTTTATGGGAGGGAGACTATCTTTTTTATCAATCCTTATCAATTTACAACTCACACCCCTGTAATGAAAGACAGATTAACGAGATTATAACGTAAATATGTTTTTAATCTAAATTTTTATGTGACACAGGGACCTTTATAAGAAAATGAAAATTGTGGGAAAATATGTAAAAAAATATATGAGTTGGCTATAGTAAACAAGGAATTTAGCAAGACCCATTCATTCAGATTCCTCGCCTTGCCCCCTTATTTTCACAAACAAGGATTCTTCTTCCCTTTAATTATTGGGAAGGTATCTTAATGAGGGTCTTATGACCTGTTTCTGGGGAAGAAAAGAAAGTTATTCCTGTATCTGTCCTTTCTCATATTTCTCTAGTTAAAAATATTCTGTGTGTTAAAGTACTGTATTTTAAGGCAATGCATCCTGACCCCATCAATATTTACCATACAGGAAGAGTCCTTCCAAAATTGATGATAACCATTTCCAATCTGAAAATTAGGCAAAGGATATAGAAGGGTCATTCATAGAAAATTAAGGTATGAAAAATACTGTACATCAGTAGCATTAATGAGGGAAATGACATTAAAATAATAATAGTAAAATATTTTATGCTTGACCAGACTATAAATACATGGCACTTTTGAAAGTGAGTATATGGAGACAAGGATATTCTCATCTATTTTTGGGTGGACATCTTATAATATTTGTGTATATATATATATATATATATATAATCTGCTTAAAACCTATCTCATCTGACTAAAAGTGTCAGTATTTAAGGAGACATCCTTAAATTTGTGTCAGATTTTGTGTGTTCATTTCTCTGTACATTTTCATGTACATCTTGGGAAAGAAGAAATTAATAGTGCAGGGAGGTATGAAAAACAACGGTTAGAAAAAACAATCCAAGAAAAACAAACTGTAACTAGATTTCTGTGGTACTGAGGTAGAGGCCTCAAATACGTTGTTGGAGCTGAGAGAGCTGGCCTCAGCCTACCACCTGTGGACAGAGGAGCTAGGTTTAAGTTGGCTCCCTGGAGCAAACAGGCCTTCAAGTCTACACTGACCTAAGTGCAGGCAAGGGTGGACTTTTCGTCCTTTTATATCTAGTGGTAGGATCCTAAATATACTGGTCAGATTTGAGCTAAATGGACCAATCTGATTTGATCTCTCTAGCTGTCACTCGGTTTGAAAATGAAAAATAAGCTGATTGGGGCTAAACAGATCAATCAGGCTCAAGGGTCGAAGACCCTGAAGATACAAGGCAGAACTATGAGAAAGCCTGAGTAAGTGGACAGCTAACTTCTGAAGAGAGAAGTCAATAGCCAGTCTCCAAAGAAAGAACAAGGAGTTAGCAGTTGGTCTCTGAAGAGAGACATAAGTGAGTCTACATCTAGCCTCTAAAGAGTGGTCAGTCAGCAGCTGGTCTCCTAAAGGAAGAGAATCAGGAGATGGCCTCTAAAGAGAGAAGCAGCAGTTATCAGCTAGCTTCTGAAGAAGATTTATTTGGACCACCTTCAAAGAAGAAGGATTTTATAGACAGCTTCTGAAGAGAGACATATTCAACAGATGACCTCCTTTGGCTTCACCAGACCTCTGTAGACTTCTAGATCTGGAGACCTTCAGAGAGATTGGGCTGCTCTGTCTGCCTCTAGCTCTGTCTCTGAAGTCATCTTAAAGAGGCATTGTCGGGTTTAGCCTAGTATCTCAAAGCTTACAAAGACCATAACCTTTGCACAAAGATCATAACCTTTGCTCCTCCAGCACCGTATCTTGTTGCTAATGAGCCCGTCATTAGCTGCTTAATTTGACATCTGGCCCAGCCTTCAAACTGCTTCTGTGGGCAGCTATAGTGTCACCACATCTTCCATGAGTGTTCTTTGTTTGGGACTTCTGGACACTGTGGACACTATCTGGGATGAAACAGCTGGCCATGTTTAGTTCTTGAAACTCTTTCCTTTTCCCCAGTCTCCTGTTTGTCCTTATTATTGGACCCTGAGCCCAAGTGGTATTTCAGTTGTGCATGAGGATGAGAAGAGCTGTCCCTGTTCTCAGCACTATCCCTTAGTACTCTGAGCACTGTTTCAAGTACTCTTTATGGGCCTCCCTGGTGGCCTTAGCGTTAATTCTGAGCACTGTCACCACTACAATCTGAGTTTCATCCCTAGCAAGAAAGCTAACCCACATATGGCACAGTAAGCCTCTCCCTTTATAGTGCTGCTCCCTTTACAGCACTGTATTTCAGTAAATCTTACCTGTTCTGCTCTCCACTCTGAATGGTGAATTCTCTCACCTTTACACACCTCTTACCTATAGCTGTAGGCACATTTAAAAAAAAAAAAAAACTTAAATAAAGAACACTCTTTAGGCACTGTTTTGAAACAGCAATAACAACAACAAAGTACCACACTCAAAGATTTTATCATCACATCTCTACATGAATACCAAGAAATAGATGTGATATTAGATGGAATGGGAAGGGACTATGCTACGTGAAATTAGCCAGAAGAAAAAATGGTAAATATCAGAAGTTTTCACTTATCTGTGGAAAACAGAGGAACCAGACAAAGGGTCAGGAAAAAGACAAAGCTTGCAAGCTGACCATAGATA